CTTTTGGGGTCTGTGGACTCTTTTGGGTCCATAAAATCCTCTGGAGTCCATAAAATCCTCTGGGGGGCCCCAAAATCCTTTTGGGGTCATGAGAACCCTTTGGGGTCCATAAAATCTTTGGGGGGGGGCGGCATAAAATCCTTTTGGGATATTCAGAACCCTTTGGGGTCCATCAAATCCTTTTGGGGTCTGTGGACTCTTTTGGGGTCAATAGAAGCTGGGGGTCTGCAGAACCCATTGGGGTCTGTAGGACATTTTGGGGTCTGTAGAGCCCATTGGGATCTCTAGAACTCTGGGGTCTACAGGACACTTTGGGGTCCACAGAACCCTTTGGGGTCTGCAGCACTCTTTGGGGTCATGGAACCCATTGGGGTCTGCAGGACACTTTGGGGTCTGCAGGACACTTTGGGGTCCACAGAACCCATTGGGGTCTGTAGGACATTTTGGGGTCCATAGGACACTTTGGGGTCTGTAGAGCCCATTGGGATCTCTAGGACTCTGGGCTCTGCAGAACATTTTGGGCTCTGCAGAACATTTTGGGGTCTGTAGGACACTTTGGGTTTGTAGGACACTTTGGGGTCTGCAGGACACTTTGGGGTCCACAGAACCCTTTGGGGTCTGCAGCACTCTTTGGGGCCACGGAACCCTTTAGGATCCACGGATCCCACTGATCTCCAGGATCCCTGATGTCCCCGGTGTCCCTCAGCGGGTGACAGTGACGCTGACGCGGTGCCAGGCGTTGCTGAGCACCCTGCACAGGTTCCAGATGTCCCCGATGCCCTGATGTCCCTGACGATGTCCCTCACTGGGTGACGGTGACACTCAGCGTGTGACGGTGTCCCTCAGCGGGTGACGGTGACAGGGACGCGGTGCCAGGAGTCACTGAGCACCCCGCGCAGGTTCCAGATGGGCCCCACGCTGTACCTGTGATGTCCCCGATGTCCCCAATGTCCCCAGTACCCCGGTGTCCCCAATACCCCGATGTCCCCAGTACCCCGGTGTCCCTCAGCGGGTGACGGTGACACTGACGCGGTGCCAGGCGTTGCTGAGCACCCCGCGCAGGTTCCAGATGGGCCCCACGCTGTTGGGCTGCACGTTGTACCTGTGATGTCCCCAATGTCCCTGATGTCCCCGATGTCCCCAATACCCCAATGTCCCTGATGTCCGAAATGTCCCCAATACCCCGGTGTCCCTCAGCGGGTGACAGTGTCCCTCAGTGTGTGACGGTGACAGGGACGCGGTGCCAGGAGTCACTGAGCACCCCGCGCAAGTTCCAGATGGGCCCCACGCTGTACCTGTGATGTCCCCGATGTCCCTGATGTCCCCAATACCCCGATGTCCCCGATGTCCCCAGTACCCCGGTGTCCCTCAACGGGTGACGGTGACGCTGACGCGGTGCCAGGCGTTGCTGAGCACCCCGCGCAGGTTCCAGATGGGCCCCAC